CGGAGATCCAACATCTTCTCCTAGCATGGCGTCCTTTTACCTCTGCTGACCAGAAGTCCAGTTCCCCCACCATAGAGTCTCCTCCTAGCATGGCGTCCTTTTACCTCTGCTGACCAGAAGTCCAGTTCCCCCACCATAGAGTCTCCACCTAGTGCGGCATCCTTTTTCCTCTACCTGTCCTAACCAAAAACCCTATCAATTGTGAAGCTGACTGGCAACAGGGAGCCGCAACAGAGGGATGAAAAAAACCACATGCGGCTCCAGAGCCGCCGGTTGCTGACCCCTGCTTTAGGGGATGGTGTTCATCTCCATTTCTTTAAGCCATTAAGCTGGACATTTCCACAGTCATGTGGCCAGCTTGACAACATGCTGCAGCACGAAGTATACAGCGTATATTGAAATGGTACCTATTTATCTACTCACATTTACATGCTGTTGAACTGCTATTGTCTTTCCCCCGAAATAAGACCTAACCGGAAAATGAGCCCTAGTATATTTTTCGGGATGCTCGTAATATAAGTCCTACCCCCAAAAATAAACCCCAGTTAAGATCGTCATCATTTAGTATGTCCGTTGCAACACACGACCGATGTATTGAATTATAAAATAGTAATATGTCAGCTTTGGAAGCCATATTGGGAGCTTTGCGAAAATGCCGTCTCGGAGTTTCATTGGAGTTGGGGTTTTCAGGAACGCTGACATAATATTAATATACAATTAAATATAAATAAAGAATATTATTGACGTTAATACTTAAAATAAATGATAATATAAATTATAATTACTGGATATTGGTAAATACCCAAACGGGCACCTTTGGACAAGAGATAAATGCCTATGTAAACACATGAACTTATTGCCCATCAGAGTATAGACACATTACACGAATAACGTCCGTACTTGATAACGAACAGACATGTTTCATAATTCAATACGTCATGTGTTACAACGGATGTACTTAACGCACTCGTATGAAATCTAGAAATGTTTTCTGAATTTTGGTACCTGCAATTTTTTTGTCGTTTTTGTGTGGACCATCCTTCTTAACTGTCATCATTTTTGTTGCCACTCCTGTCTCGTAAATCTTCAATTAACACTTGATTTAACAGTAGATTTAAAGGGAATAATATTTTGACCCCCAGACAAGATGTGTGCAAAAAGAAAGAGCTATTCCGTCGAGTTCAAGAAAGGAATCGTGGAGGACTCTCAGAGCAAGAATCTGACGGCTTTCTGCAAGGAGAAGATGTTGGATCTCCGAATGGTCCGAAAATGGCGAGCAGAGTACGAGAACCTCAGTCAACAGGTGGACGAGGGAAATGCTAAGAAGCGCAAATGTGGATCCGGTCGGCCACCATTATTTCCTGAGCTGGAAGACATCATCTGCGAATGGATCGCTGACAGGAGAGCAAAGGGTTTAGTTGTGCGCAGGGCTGATATTCAAGCATTCGCGCTTGCAATGACAGCGCAGTTAGGAATACCCCCAGAAGAATTCAAAGCCTCGAAACACTGGCTGGACGGCTTCCTTCAGCGAAACGAACTGTCTCTAAGATCGACCACACTGTTCAAGCTGGAAGATACTGAGCTGATTAAACGTGCTTTTGCATTCAAGTCCTTCGTTGATGGCATCGACTTTTCTAAATACCAACCCTCCAACATGATTGCCATGGATGAAACTGCTGTCTTTATGGGCCAAGGATCTCCAACTACCGTTGATCAGAGGGGTGCCTCGTCAATCTATATGCCTTCCACCGGTTACGAAAGCGCACGTGTCACCTGTATTTTGGCAATTCGTCTGGATGGAAAGAAAGTCCCACCTCTAATCATCACTAAGGGCAAGAAAGAGACGATTGAACATGTCTCAGGCGTTTATGTTCTTGAAACTGAAAAAGCCTGGTGCACACAAGCCGTTGTAAGGAAGTGGGTCGATTTAATGCTGCCATTTGTTTTGCGAGGTGGCCAAAGAGCTCTGCTAGTCTGGGATTCAGCCAGCACTCACCGCACTAAAGATATGAAGAACTTCCTGGCAGAGAGAAGAATAGATCAAATAATGATTCCTGCAGGAATGACTGCCTATCTCCAGACTCTTGATATTGCAATAAACAAGCCATTCAAGGACCATTTGCACATGGAAATCAACGACTACATTGAAAATAGAATGGGGAGGAATCAGTGGGGACACTTTGTGAAGCCTAGCCTGCAAGAGATTGTGACTTGGGTGAGGAATTCGTGGGATAAAATCACTGACAGCTGTGTTGCCAATGCGCTACGAGCAGGCTACATGGACAAGAAGTGCTCGTTTAAGGAGAGCGCTATTGCTGGACATGAGAGATTGGGGCCAATGGTTCTACAGGAAATGAAGACGCAAGAAATTCAGGCTGGAATTTGGGGTTTGGAGTGTTATGACGATGTTCCTGAAGAAGATGACATGACTGTATTTGAATAAATGTAGATTTTTGTACATAAACAAATGTAGATTTTTTTGCATGAATAAAGGAATAAATTTAGATTGTTGTCCATGAAAAAAAAAAACAAGACATCACCTGAAATTAAGCCCTAGTGCGTCTTTTAGAGCAAAAATTAATATAAGACCCGATCTTATTGTCGGGGAAATACGGTAGGTTGACAGGAGCTGAGGCAAGGGATGGGCTCTCACTCTGCCACATGGTGGAAGGACTCAAACTGCCAGAGAGTAGATCTTCCCTGGCTTTTAGTGCAGTAGATTAAGAGAATAATATTATAGCCTCAACTTTTTACTTTCACGTAATTATATATCCTAGCCATTTCTATAATAACAAACATATCTAATCAGCAAAACCCAAAGTCAAAATTTCATTTTCTACCATCTTAAGTACAAAGTCCAGTAGAGGTTTCCAAGTAGAAACAGTTAGCTATATTTTTTTTTAACTTAGTTAACTTAGCCATCTCTTCTAATACCATCCATTTTTCCAGCCAGTCCTCCATTGTGGAATTAAAATATATTTCCATTTTTGTACATAGAGCATTATTTGCTGCTCTCAGCATACATAACAAAAGTTCCTATTTTTCCCCCAGGTTCTTTGTCCATTAAACCTATAAGAAAAAAAATCTGGTTTAATCTTTATATTCACTTTAAGAATCTTCTTTATTAAGATGTAAATCCTACTCCAATTTTTTTTTTTGCTTTGTCACAAGTCCACCAGAGATAGTAAAAGGTTCCTCCTTGACCTTAACAGATCCCATGAACTTCTTGTACTACTGAAGGCCAAAGAGAGAGCAAAGCTTTTTTGCTTTCCAGATTTGGTGAAGATGGAGAGACCTAGCCTAACTTTTATCTGTTTTTGTCACCACAGGGAACGAGCAAGAAGAGGAAGAGGAGGAGGAATTCCAGCCCAAGCATCCTGAACCAACAGTTAGTGGTGGGTTATCCCTGGAAAGAGCAACAGGGAAGGGTTTCCAAAGCTCCGAGTCGGACGAGAACTCCGAAGGTCCCTCCGAAAACCATCCTGGAAAGATGACCAAACGCTTTGAGGAGAGCAGCAGGGGTGCACGCGAAACCTCCTTTCAGGAAGGGATTTCCCGGCATGTTGACTCGGGGGAAAGTTCCTGCAAAAGTTTTGGCCCTCAGGAAATTCAGCCGATAGAGAAACCCCACAAGTGCTCGTTCTGCGGGGCCAGTTTCTACGAGAGAACTCACCTCATCATTCATGAGAGGATCCACACCGGAGAGAAGCCCTACAAGTGTTCGGTCTGCGAGACGTGGTTCTCTCATCCCTCTGAGCTGATGCGGCATGAGGAGACCCACATGCCCGAGAAGCCGCACAAATGCGCTGTCTGCGGCAAAAGCTTCAACCAGAAAGCCTCCCTCATCACCCATGAGAGGACGCACACAGGGGAGAAGCCCTACGAGTGCTCCGAGTGCGGGAAGAGCTTCAGCACCAGCTCCCAGCTCATCACCCATAAGAGGGTCCATACGGGGGAGAAGCCCTACAGTTGTTCCTACTGCGGGAAGAACTTCAACCAGAAGGCCTCCCTGATCACGCACAAGCGGACGCACACGGGTGAGAAGCCCTACGAGTGCACCCTCTGCGGGAAGAGCTTCAGTGCTTGCTCCCAGATCATCAACCACATCCGGGTCCACACGGGAGAGAAGCCCTACGAGTGCCTGGAGTGCGGGAAGCGTTTTGGCAGCAGCTCCCACCTGACGGATCACAAGCGGACGCACACGGGCGAGAAGCCATACAAGTGCCCCGACTGCGGGAAGAACTTCAGCCGGAGTTCCAATCTTACCGCTCACAGCCGGATCCACACAGGAGAGAAGCCATATATATGCTCAGGTTGCGGCAAGAGCTTCAGGCAAAAGGCCTCCCTCATCACACACAAGAGGACTCACACGGGGGAGAAGCCCTTCGAATGCGCCGAGTGCGGGAAAAGTTTCATTTCCAGTTCTCGTCTCGTCAGCCATAAACGGGTCCACACGGGGGAGAAACCCTACGAATGCTTAGAGTGCGGGAAATGCTTTATCTCCAGCTCCCACCTTCTAAGCCATAAAAGGGTCCATACGGGAGAGGAACCTTTGAAATGCTCGTAGAGCACAAAGCATTGCCGATATGCCCCCCCGGGCTGGCTTCTATGTGACTCTGGCGGGGAATCCTATATTTCCGGGACGGCGTAGCATCTGTAGCTCTGAAGGCCGTTCCATTTCCTCGATGTACCATTGAAAAGTTTTGTTTATTAGTTTTAAAGAACTTTTTTTTTATAAGCCCAGGGATGCTCTTGCAAGATCTACTTTCTGCTTTTCTCGATAAGGCCAGCTGACATGCACTCTGGCCAATACGTATCTCTGTGCACCTCAGCACGTAGAAGATGCAGGCTTGGCTTGCGTGAACAGTGCTCTCCACTTCCTGAAAGAGGCAGAAGGGATCGTGCATGGATGTAAACACCAAGTACACAGGATACTTTCCAAGCTGGTGAGACCAAAGGATTGACTCAAAAAACAAAAACAAAAAGCCTGCCTCACAGTGTCCCACATGGCAGCTCTGCCAGTCTCAGCAGCTCATAGTGTGAACCAGCCTTGCTAAAAGATAGAGCAGTGTTGGGCAACTTAGACCCTTTTTTATGACAATAAACTTCAACTCCCAGAATTCTGAGGCAGCCATGCTGGCTCAGGAATTCTGGGAGTTGAAGTCCACAGGCCATAATGAAGGGATAGCTGCCCATCCTTGAGAGAGAGAATAGCTGAGGGGAAATTTGATCATTAGAAAATGAAGAGATTTTTTTTTCCAGACCCTGTGTCTTTTTCCCTGCCTGCCATCAAGAGAGCTTCCCCCTGTTTTCCCTATCAGAGAGAACCCGAAAAGGTCCCTGAGCAGTCACTGCTCCGAATATTGTAAAAGATGTAGGAAATACTTAAACCTGTTGTATATTTTACACCCCTGAACAAAGCGTTCTCTGGTGATTTCCCCCTTTCTGCCACAAAACTTTTAAAATGTAAAATGTAATTGTAAATTACAATTGTAAAATGTGGCCCGAATAGATGCAGAGAACACCTCAAGGCTGGGTTCACACAACACTCTAAACCAATGTTTCTCAACTTTAATATGTGTGGACCTCAACTCCCAGAATTCTAAGCAATGGCGGTGCTGACTGGAGGATTCTGGGAATTGAAGTCCACACAACTTAAAAGTGGCCACGTTTGAGAAACTAAAGTTAGCTAAAGCCTAACTTCAGGTTGATGAAGCACATTTGCTCAATCTTATTCACCTAACACACTAAACGAGTAACTGTAGCTTAATGAGATGGCCCAGTTCACTCAACTCTCCAAAACAAAGAGAGTCCTTGACTTAACAACCATAATGGAGCCTCCCCATCATTGTCATAAATCATGAAAATTGTAAAACAATTTTATGGCCTTTTTTGCATAAAGTAACCACTATGATAATTAAGAAAATACTGGGGACTTTAAACAAACCAATCTTTACTATGGGCATGGTTTTCAGCAAAACTGTGGTAAAATGTGGTCACATGACATTACAAATGGCCTAGATGCAGCCTTGTTGCTAAGCACCCAAAGTTTGGTCAGGTGGCTTCTGGAGGGGGGCAGCCATCAAAACTTTGAATTTGGGTCATAGGTTGCAAGACAGGCCCATCTAAACTTTGAATGGTCACTAAGCAACCGGCTGTTTGTTATGCAAACAGAGCCAAGATCAAGAAAACTCCTAGGATACTTGGGCTCTTGCAATTGGCTGCTCTTGTATCTCTTATGCAGGGCTGGGCAACTATGGCCCCTTTATGACCTGTGAACTTCTGGCTGGCTCAGGAATTCTGGGAGTTGAAGTCCACAGATCATAAAGGAGCCCACCCCTGCCCTTACACGTCAGCATTGCAGTTCTGTAATGTTTGGGGACTTACGGACGGAGATGCCATCAAGCTATGTTTGATGGATGATGGGAAGCAGAACGCAGGAGTAGATGGCCTTGAACTTGCAAAGCCCCTCTTCTTAATTTCTATCACCTCTCCATATACATGGTATGTGGGGCCGTGCTGTATACAAAATGGGAATCAGGGGAGACATGCTTACCAAAAAGTTTGTGCAAGAGAGAATTTTAGGAGTATGTTGTGTTTTGGAGAAAGAAAGAAAAATAAACCCCATTCTCACACAGTTCACACATGCGTGGGCAGCAGACTTGAGCAATGTTCTCATTGCAAAACATGGGGGAAGAGATACGAGGCGGTGATATCTGGTCTCTAGTAAACCATTTCACCCTTATTTAAAGCTTCCTGCATTCAGCCAAGCATGTAGTTTGCATGTCTGAACTGCTCCAGGGGGTGTTCTGTTTATGTTCCCCCCACCCCATGCATGTGGGAAAATAGGGAAGAGAGGGGTCTGGATCCATTGGAAAGAAAGGAACTTATAGACAAATAGGAAGGAAGAAGCTGGGGTGTGCTTATGTCAGTATCAAATGGGTGTGATGGAAAGGGCAACATACACTGGATATAGAAATTCTGCACACCCCTGTTAAAATGCCAGATTTTTGAGATGTAAAAAAATCAGACCAAGATAAATCATTTCAGAATTTTTTGTCAAACCTTTAATATAACATATTAGCTGTATAATTCATTTCGAAAAGCAAGGCAAAATTATTTAGTGGGAGGAAAATAAAAATAAAAAACCAGAATAATGTTCACACCCTCTTGTAAGTAGGGATGTGGCTATGTTCAGAAGTAACCAATCACAATTCAAACTGATGTTAAATAGTAGTCATACATATCTGCCATCAATTAAAATGACTCTGATCAAGGCCATTCATGTCCAGCTGTTCTAATAGGATTTTTTGAGATGTTTACTCAATGGCCTCTTACAGCAAAAGCTTTGGCCTACAGAAGAGCTTATAAAGCATCAAAGGGACCTTTTGTTGGAAGGTATCAGGGAACAAATACAAAAAAACATTTCCAAGGCATTGGATGTACCATGGAGCACAGTGAAGACAGCCATCAACAGGGGAGAAAATATGGTAACAACAACAGAGTCATTACCAGGAAATGGATGCCGTTTCAAATTTGATGAGAAGACTAATCTGAGAAGCTGCCAGAAGGCCTACAAGCAACATTAAAGGAGCTGAAGGAATTTCCGACAAGTCCTGGTTGTGTACCACATGGGAAAACAACTGTTACTTTTGACAAAAAAAAGAATCAGTCATCAACACCGCAGTCAGCATCTTAAAAATCCACATGCAACAGGCACCATATAAACACCACACACAGAACAGTCTAAAGTACACACTCTACTAGGGTGAAGTTCCCTGAAGATGGGCTCTGAAAGCCTTGGATGGAAAACTAAACTGGTCCCAGTGACTGACCCAGATTGGATCCTCCCAACAGTATCCTGGGATACGTGTACTCTCTCAACATTCGTCATATGTCTGGATAGGGTGGCAAGATGGAAGCCTTTCCTTATTTAAAAATAATAATAAATCCCCCGTCTAAACCTGACTCTATTTTGCGAAAATCCACATTTATCTGACAAAAGCGTGTGAGGAAAATGTGTTCTGGTCCGATGAGATCCAAGGTTGAACCTTTTGGCCATTAATTGCAAAAAGATATGGCGCAAAAACAACACTGCACATTATTAGCAAAAGCACGATGGTGGCCGCTTTAGGCTTTGGGCCTGCTTTTCTTCAGCTGGAGCTGGGGCTTTAGTCAAGACAGAGGGAATTGTGAGCAATTCCAAATGTCAAGTCTATTTTGGCACAAAATCTTCAGACCTCTGCTAAAATACTGAAGTTGAAGGTGATTTTTTTGCCTTCCAACGCAATGATGATCCAAAGCATTCCTCTAAATCAATCAAAGAATGGCTCCACCAGAAGATCCAAGTTTTGGAATGGCCCACGCCTGAATCCAATTGAAAATGTGGGAGGTAACTTGGAGAGGATTAGCCACAGGAGATGCCCTCACAATCCGACAGAGTAGGAACACACTTTCAAGGAAGAGTGGGCGAAGATTGCCAAGGCAAGATGTGCCGCTCCTTCCCCCAAAGACTGCATGCTGTCAAGAGAATCAAAAGGTGCATCAACAAAGTATTAGCTTAAAGGTGTGCATCTTTACGCAACTGTGTTGTACATTTTTAATGGTTAATTTGCCCTTTAGAAGTTTTCCGATCGAATTGTGCAGCTCGCATGTTACATTAAAGGTGGAAAAAATCCAGAAGCATTTTTTTTAAATCTCTTCTTTTTTTTTACATCGCCAAACCTGGCATTTTAGCAGGGGGGTGTGTAGATTTTTTTTTTAATATCCACTCTACATGTTACGGTATAAAACAAGCTTTGAGCCAGAGAAGAGCTGCAATAACATAACGCTCCCTTTTTAATATCCTTTGTTTTTTCCCCTTTGCTCTCCAGATAATGAGCACAAAGGTGAGGAAGCAACTCTAAAATGTTTCTTCCACTATTTGGGTCAGTGAGATTGAAAACAGGAGGGTTCTGGAGAGAAAAAAGAAGTTGAGGTTGGCCATCTCTTCCTTCCTAGCCCCTAACGTCTGGAAGCCAGGAATATACCAAGCTATTTCGGAAGTTTGTTGTTNTGGTGTACGTCTAAGTTTTGTTTGTGTGTATTTTACATGTTTGTTAATAAAAAATAAATAAAAAAGAAAGAGTAAAGGAGATACAGAAAAATTATCACCATAAAAAAATGAGATATACAAAAATTATCACTATGTCAGTTAATACTTAGTTGGGTTAGCTGATTGACTCATTGTGGGGGCGATATGCTGACTCTGTAAACCACTTAGAGAGGGCTGAAAGCCCTATGAAGCGGTATATAAGTCTAACTGCTATTGCTATTGTCAAAACAAGATGACGCCTGATTGTCTCTCTAAACACTCATGCTCATTGGCTACAATCAAATGAAGGAAAGCTACCTGATATCAACCTAAGCAATTTGTGCTTCCTTTTTCTGGTTATTTGGCTATAGCTTTTCATAGAATACAGATAACTGAACAAACTTTGTTGCATTATATTCTTGATTAAATGATCTTTCCATTGATATATAATTTTATGGTACTATTCCAACAAAAAGTGGTATTACTAGCCATCAAACCTCAAAAATACACTTTCCCCAAAAGGTTTCCACAATTTTGGCCACTATTGTACTTCTGCACTCCTCTCAAAAAAACTGCATAGACCTGTCCATGAAGTCATCAGGATCTGAGCTCATCTTGAAGGAGATTTGATATCATTGGGTAGACCATTCCAATAAAAGAGTGGGTTGTGTTGGGTTTGGGGTGTCCTCCTTTGTCTCTCTTATTGTTTTGACCCAAAATTATGTGCAACCAGTGATAGGCTTGTGAGCCCAAGTTCAGTCCGAATACTCTGCATTTGAAAAACCCTTCTAACTAAGCCAGCATGAGTTGAGCCTTATTCATCGGGAATATATTTTAGTCTCAGCCGACAGTTTTGCACCCGAGATATTTCTAAGCGAGAAGGTTCTGCAAAAATTCTCCATATTTGCTTGGGACTCTTGAAATTACTAGTTGGGTGGCTATAATAAATTGCCAACCAGTTGCCCTCAAAAAAGTTGGGCAGAAGCTCCCGCTATCCCCAGCCAGGCTGGCTTCCTCCAATGCCGGGCGTTATAATCTGATGGTGCTGAAGTGGTCCAGGTTGAAGAACACAAGCGTCGGGCCCACCTGCACCCCAGAATTCAAATTGTTTTAGTGTGTATCTAGCTAGAAGGAAAAAAAAATCTTTCTTCAATGAAAACAACATTATTCAATTATAGTCCTGATTAAACCGCTGTGTCCCAGAATCTGCCTTTCCTTCAAGTCCAGATTAGCCAGTGCTTCCTTCTGAGATGCTTGTGACTGCACCGCCTGTTTTCCCAGCTCTCTCTAGCTTTCTCTTTAGATGAAACATCACCTTTTGCGTCCGCCTGTAGTCCCTCAACCTGTATGCATGCCTGCTTTATTCGCACAGAGAGGCACGGAGAGGGGCGAGCGCTGCTTTCTTCCCATGAACGTTTGTGATTCTGTAGTTGTAAATGCATTAAAAAATATCTTTAATTTATCCACGGGTGTTTCTTGTCGGTTATATCTTTCCTTTCTGGTGTGGACTCTCTTATTTCATTACCTCAAGGGTAGGAGAGACAGCTGGCTCTGCTCTGTTGACCAATAAAATGGGACTATTTTATGCTACCCCTATTTATGGGGAGATGGTGATTTCTTGGCAAACTCTGCTCCCCAGTGGGAGGGGCAGCCTGGGGCTTCTCGGCTATCCTGGTTTGAACGCACCCTTTAGAACAGGGGTGTCAAACTCAATTTCATTGAGGGCCGCATCAGGGTTGTGTTTGACCTGGGGAGGGGCGTGGCCAGCTCAACATCACTCGAATCAAGGGCACCTGTTATGGCCAAGTGCTAAGGCAGGACTTCCCTCAGACCCTCCCTCCCTCTCATAACCAACCTTCCTTCCTTCCTTCCTTCCTTCCTTCCTTCCTTCCTTCCTTCCTTCNCATTCTTTGTGGTCCCCTTCTTCTCTTGCCCTCAATCTTTCCCAGCTGTTTAGGCTGTTCTTCAGTGAGTCCTTCCTTCTCATTAGGTGGCCAAAGTATTCGAGTTTCCTCTTCAGGACCTGGCCTTCTAAAGAGCAGCCAGGATTGATCTCCTCTAGGACTGACCGGTTTGATCGCCGTGCAGTCCAAGGGATTTGCAGGAGTCTTCTCCAGCACCATAGTTCAAAGGCCTAATTTAGAAACTTCGTGGGTGTGTTTTTTGGCTTAAGTTCTTCAGTAGCACTTTGATCTGTATTAACACCAATTTTATCATTTAGGGCAATGTTTACCAAACTTGGCAAATTTTAAGACACATGGACTTCAACTCCCAGACTTCAAACATTGATTTGGAGCTTCTCTCAGTCTTTCCGTGCTGATTTACATGGATTTGGGTTCATTTAGAAATTGGGAACACAGACTCTTAAAATGGTTCTGTACAGCACATAGTTGAGTGAAATTGATACTGGCCTACTCTATAAATGGCAACCTATTTTAGTATTTCGGGGCACCTTAATAGAAATTGAGAAGTAAGAATCTTGATTTGTCTTACAGTGATCCTGCTGCTAGGCTAGGCTAGAAGGCACATTAAGAATCTATGAGGTTACTCTCTCCCGGTCAAAAAAATTGGTTGAGAAAGGAAAGATCTATGGCAGTGTGGAGACTGACCAATAGAAGACAACACACAGCTAACCTAGGTTGTTCTTAGAACAACTAAACCCTGAACAGTCTTGGATGGGAACTTTCAGAAGATGCTAGGCTGTCAGATTGAGATAACAAACAGAAAGTACAGTAGTGGAAAACTTTTGGGGAAAGTGTTCAGTATTTTTGAGGTTTGATGACTTTTTTTTTGGAGTAGCACCATAAAGTTAGACATCAATGGAAAGATAATTTAATCAAGAATGTAATGCAATAACTTTTATGAAGGATTTGCTATTAGAATAGCAGTTATAAAGAAGAAAAATGAAGTAGAAAAAAGGAACCAGTACAAAATGTTTTACAGATGGCACCTGGCACCAACAAGATTTGCTAAAATCTTAACAAATACCTCACCAAAATGTTGGAAATGGGAATCAATAGATGGAACATATTACCGTTTATGGTGGACTTGTGAGGAGGCTAAATTTTTTTGGAAAAAGATCAAAAATTGGCTGGAGGCAATAACGGGTTAAAATAGAATGGAAACCTAAAGTTTTTTTATTAAGAATAATGTCTGCAAAATACAAAAAAGTATTTAATATTACATATAATTACGGCAGCAAGGATTGCCTTTGCCCAGAAATGGAAAAACAAATTAATTCCAAGTGAAGATAAAA